ATTTAAATTTCTCTCGATCCGCTGGATCCGATTGCTATTGGCTGATCAATTAACACATGGCAATACATGAATCTAAATGCATATATATCCTGAGCAGGGAAATTTTGTGAATTCACCCCGCGAAAGATCCCTGTGGAAGATGCATTGACTGAAACGCGTGAAATTGGTCCGATGTTTGTAACGTCAACCAAGCCGGCCATTTGAAAATGAGATGAAAGCCTCTATTTTAGAAAGTTCATTCGGCGTTGAAGCATCAAAAGGTAATGAAAATGAATCATAATGTTAAGAACTGCTGCTTAAAACTTACCACGAATGCAAGGAGACGGCAGGCATTCGTCGATTTCAACGTCGCAGTCGTATCCTTTGTAACCGTCATCACATACACAAGAGTATTTGTTAACGTGATCGACGCATGCTCCTATAAGTAAACAACAACAAAAAATGAAACATGAACACCTATAATAACCAATTATTATTGGCTGGGATTGTGTGTTTGTTTTTGCTACTTGTTACAGTATATGGTGAAGGAAAATCAGCCAATCATGGCAAAAAACATTAGCCAGGATGATTTGGACGGACAAGAATCAACGGCAAGATTACCAAATAACCCTATACATTATTATGCATGCTGTTCATTGATTAAATAAAAAAACTCACCAAATGCGCAGGGCGATGACTCACATTCATTAATATCCTCAGTACAATTAGGCCCTCGGTATCCAGGATCACAAGTACATCTGTATGCGCCGGTGTAGTCCGTGCAATTTCCTGCAAAATAATAACAAAGCTTGCAATTTGATCCGGAGGACAGCATCAATTTTCATGAAGAGATTTTTAGATGATAATGTGCTATTAGTTAGTAAAAACGCAGGATTCAACATCCTGCGAACTTATGTTTTGTCATAACTAGAAACATCTCCGTTCGTACTCAGGCGTTCATGATGGTAAAATCTACGCGCAGTCTACACTTGGTTTTCACACTTATTAGCATGAAAAATCTTATATGCTCGTAAAATTTTCCACCAATTGAAAAGTATTTTAAAAAATTAGTGTTCTTTTCATTCATCTTTTCACTTTCTTTTCAACTAGCTGTTGAACCTAAATGTGAAAAATGATGCTCTGTATAGCCTTGTCACCTGCAAGACTAAAATTTACACTCAAACCCATAACGGAGCACCTGAGTGCAACTTTGTATTACTAACCATGGGCACAAGGAGAAGAACTACAATCATCATAATCGCTGTCACACTTGCGACCAACATATCCAGGGTCACAGATACACCTGTAAGTATTGATTCCATCGATGCACCGACCTAAGAAAGAAAATGAATACACAAAAAAATCGATTTAAACGAAAAAGGAGAGTCCTTAGGTACCTAGCGTCTGTTGAAATTAATGGACAGTAGACTTGTCGTGTCAGTAAAATTGTATTCAACGTAAATCACTCCTTTCACATTCCTGATTATGCCCTGCTACAAAATAACGCCTCTTACCTAGTATCAGTTCCGTTTGATATTTATCGATGTTATACCTAGTTTAGGACTCTAATACGGGAAAATATTCCTTTTTTTTGAAATTTTTCTATATCGAGTGGATTGAATAAATAAATCATGACTCTTGCGTGGCTAATTGAAACTCATACATTTCTGTCTTGAGTTCGTCTGATCTACCCTGGCTAAGCCACAGAATCGTTCCATTTCCACTGTAATCAAACTCTTTCTGAATGCGATTAGCTTTCTGGTCACTGCTTTGATCTTTGAAAAGGATAGTACAGCAGGGTTAGGGTTAGAAAAGCAAATTTCCAGTTAGTAGATGAGCGCTCCGTTTTTGCGGTTTAAATCCCTAAACAGTGTCTCCTAAAGTAATAGTGTTCACTGCCTTCTATGGCATGGTAAAAAGGAATTATAACTCTACCTCGAATACATGGAAAGGACCGGCAATCGTCGATGTTAGTCTCACAGTTTTCCCCAGTAAACCCTGGCATGCAATTACACGCATAAAACCCTGACCCTCTTGGCTTGTTTGGGTGGGGCATACAGGTTCCATTATTCTGACACTGGCAGACAACCAAGGACACACTGATATTAGCATACGATGTGGCTTGACAAGCGTCTGTTGCTTTGAGAAAAAACTGAGTCGAGGTATCATTGGTGGCATTCCAAATCAAATCTTTGTCGACGACCGACGCTTTGGTTGGGCTTCCTTGCATTAGTGAAAGTGTAACAGGCATGCCCTCTGGGTCCACAACATCAATGGTCAGTTGCAAGGCTTCTCCAGATACAGCGAAGTACTCGGTGGTGGGCGAAAACGTGGGTGGAAGGTTAGCTAAAGGTGTGAACACTTTTTATTAGAAGCTATTGAGGAAAACCTTGAAGAGAATCAAGATAATCATGAAGCAAAGTTGTAAGTTTCACGAGCTGGTCACTTCAAATGTAAATTTCGATGTTGCGACAGTACATTTCATCGTTGTGGAAGGAAATCCAGAAGCATGGATATGCATGATCAAAAAACAAACTAACAACACACACACACAGTTGTACGACAGAGGAAAGTTCAAATAGCACACCCCCAAAACGTTCTATTCACAGCTGCTGAAAAGTAAGCGATCAAGATGGAGCACAAATTCTCATCGTGCAAGGCGTAGCCAATCAACCTCATTGCCTGAAGGACACCAGAAGTATACGCACGAAACGTCACAATACACGGCTGAAGGGACTATATCGTTGACCAATGATACTATTTCATGATAACGGTGATTAAAATTACGACAAATAGCAACAGCGCCTGTTGTGACATCAAAAGTTTTGCTGTAAATTTGAGGATTATAACTTTAGCATTATAATCAAGAACAATCCTAAAGTTAATAACTTGGCAAACACCAACTATTTTCAAGGGGAGGGGTGAAGGGGGGTTATTGCAAGGCGTAATAGGCATCTAGAAACTTGATATTAATTTATATATCCTAATCTCATTTGCAGATGTAAAAAGAAAAAAAACTTTATTTGAATTACCTTGACGTTTCGTCCAGGAGGTTGTGTTGACCTTAGGAAGACACTGGTAGCACCAGTCGGTAGGGTTTTTCTCGTCTGGGGCGAAGCAATAACCATTTATCAGGCAAGAGTTCCCCTGCAGTGTAAGATATATGGAATATATTAATTGCGAAGAACGAGCGTTTAGATCTGATGTGAGATGGGGACCGATCTACCAATAAATCGATCAAAAGTAAGCAAATCTTGGAGCCCCTAGATCCACCTGCGAAGGCCAGCCTTTGGCATCAGCAGGAGTATATTATGTAAAAAAAGTTTTGCGCGTAGCTAGCAAGGGAATGTTTGCTATTAATTTCAATTTGCTCTTTTGTCTATTTTTTCCCAAACCCTGACATTACTAATGGATAAAATAAAAATACTGGGAAATATGCAGAGCTTGGCTCACCCGTAAACATTAAGTTCAAGCTAATTTCCTCAAAGCCGTCAGGAACACTTCATGATTCAGACTCCCAGCTTCATTAGTTGTAAACCGTTTAGAGTTAAACCCTTATTATTTACAATAAGAAATAATTTACTCGGGTTTATTTCGTTTTGATTTTCTAAACTTAAATTAAAGAGACTTGCCTTGAAGAAGCATCCAGAAGAAATGTTACAAGTCATGCAAGCTGAATCATACGATAAAAAGGTAAGATTTTTGACGCTTTTGTGTTCACCATCGTTAGATACAGATATCATCAGGCCAGCGGCAGCAGTCCCTCTATCAACGTCTGAGAAATAATTTTGCGTGACCGGGAACTGTGGTAAATAACAGTCAACAAGTACCAAGTCTGTCATTTTACCAGAGAATCTTTGTTCTATACTGTTCGGCGTCCAAGGGCTATCAACAACCTATGTCCATCCGGTAAACACAAAAATATGGACTAAAGAGGTAAACTAAATGAAACAAGAAAACCAATAAAAAACAAAAACAAACAAAATAATAAAACAAGCAAATCCACAAAGAAAAAACAAACAAACAAACACATTATTACAATAAGAAAACGAGATCATGAGAACAAACGAATATAAAAGCGAGTCGTCTGTCTCGTTCATTCAATAGTTTGCAATCAGGCCACAAAGTCGCCCGACCAAAATTCGTTTTTTTCTGTGTAAAACTAGAGAAATGTGTGATATGTTAAAATTGCTAACCTTGAATTCGTTTACATGACAAGTCATGTTTGTAGAATTGCGGAAGTCAATGCCAAATACTGTAACCTTCTCGCATGGTCGTTTGCGCTTGTCACATAAGCCGTCCTCCTGCAACCTAGCGGTGGCAGCGTATATTCGATGTTATTGATATTCTAAAGAGCATCAAACACCCACGAGAAAAGAAGAAAGCACTCTCTGTCGCAGTTCTGTGGGGGTACAGATGTTTTTTTGGTTGATTCTGGTAATAACTGATCTTTAACTGTCGAACTATGGCGGGCAGAAATGATCGACCGTTCTGTCAATCGGTAGGATATATCGATTGAGCGATTGATTGACAGTTTGATTGATGAGTGACGGACTGACTAATTGAACATCAATCGGTCGTTTTCAATTTGGAAATGAGGAAAACGGAAGTGTTTTAAGCAGCCTACCTGGTGATTGTAGGTAATTGATAGATGGACACCGAGCAATCGGAAGCTGTGTAGTCTTTGTAACATACGCAGGAGCCATTAACACATTCTCCGTTTAGAGTACAATCATTTGGACACAGCAACTCAGCGACTTGTTCAACCAAGGCTTCAGCCGCGGGATTTGCTTCGCTACTTTTGTTTGCAAGCATGGATAGATTTTTGGCACCCAGTATTCCACACTGTTCGACCAATACTGCCACACTACCACTTGCAAAGGAGAGGTCCCCTGTAAACTTTTAAACAAAAAAAAAAAATTAGGCTGTCGAATAAATACCTGTATCTTTAGAGACTAGGATGATGTCCCCTATTTTTAAATTTTCAATAATCATTCAGCCAGTTTCAACAAAATTCAGCGAGATATTGCTGAAATTTTTATTGAGAAAATCATTGAACCGGGTTAAGCAAAATAAAATTTATGCATTAATTTTTATATATTTTTTGATGTATTTTGTAAATACACTGTTGTCGTTCTCCTAATTTTTATCATTATAACCATGAATGTAATATAATTGATATACATACATTTATGATCATCAACACTTTATTATATGTAATCAGTTTTGAAGGGAAGAGACCAGTCATTTTCCATTATAATCACAAGCCTATCATAATTTTCTCACCAAACAGAGGTTATGCTTAATGTAAAAAAAGGGCTGGATTTCTCTATCAATCGGTGACTAATTATTTTTTCCATTTAAAGCTATATACTGAATCATGCAAAAAAAACAAAACAAAAAACGCTTGGGAAAAGAAACCCCCCATGTTAAGCTTGATTCGAATTGAAACAAAATCTTACATAATAAAGAAAAAGAAAAGAAAATCTACTCCATCACTGTTTTACTTTAAAGGATTGACAGCAATTTTAAAAGCCTCGAATAAATTGACTCCATATTTTCATTGAGGATTAACGATTAGTTATCCCAAAATTTAAATCTAATGGTGAGCTGACAACGGTTTTTTCTTCTGGTCATTTACCAACTAATAAGAGCTTCTAAGTCACCCATGATATTCTTCTCCTCATGTGATGTGTATCGCAAGCTTTCTCTTATTTATGCCTTGCTAACAGCTAATCCAAAACGGACAAATCAGCAGAGAGTGAAAGAGCAGGTGTTGCTATAAAATCCCCTCTGGAAAATTGATAAACCAGCCAGTCATCTTGTCAAAGAGTAACAGTGGTTTAAAGGTATCGAAATCGGGGCAACTTCTGACGATTTGGATCCACTCAGAACCTATTTATTAACATCTATTTTTCAGATACAAGAACTCTTCTTTGGCTGGGCAACAATTTGGTAAGGAAGGACCATCATTACAGACAATTAGACTTTTTGAGAATAATCATTGCCGATTGGTGGTGTGTAGTTGAAGTACACAGATATCATTTTTTGTTTTGTATGTAAAAAGATAAACAGAAATGTTTCGTTCTACCTTACCTCTAAATCAGCCGAACATGTCTCAACTAGCTGCTGTACATTCACTCCAAACTGCGCACAGAGCTTACCAAGCTTAGTGTCGGATATTCTCTCAGCACAATAACGTGTGGCGTTTTCTTTAGGAATTTGGTCGTCAGCTACTGCCCTCCTGAAACGATGATGCGCGTGAAGTGTATGCTTAAATAACTGTAAATCTTCATCTGTGACATCATCGGAGTAGTGAATATCCCTCTTCTGTCGATCACACAAATCTGTAGGCGAGGCATCTTCCATAGCTGTGTTCAGTAGAGTGGGAAAAGCGGCATCAAATACATTTTGGCAATGAGTTTGACTGTTTTGACCATCTATGGGACACAAACATGCCCTGGCATATTCCACATAGCCTGCGTTTACGTCATCCGGAAGTGTATCAAAAAAGCTTTCACCGACCTCCAGCCTGAAAAGTAAAAGGCAGATAATCTCCGGCAGCTTGAAGAAACAAACCAAAGTCAAAATAGCTTAAAACGTTAGGAAATCCCGCATGAATAAAGAGCGCTCTTATAAGAGAGGATCATTCGAGCATAATGTACTGACTAGCTATACAGCTAGCTTCGTGGGTTTTATAGAAAATAATTGAACACAGCCCGAAAAGTCATTGTGCTAAGAAGACATAAGCAGTGCAAATGATAAATCGATGTTCGGACGTTTTCTGCGTACTTAACAATATGATCGACGTTACTTAGATTTTCTTCTAAGACATAATTACCTTTCCTTCATCCCTTCCGCATCGATTGTAGCGGGATTGTGAAGACAAAGTCCTCTTTCATTGTTTACGTCCTTTGCCCTTGGTGTGAAAAGGGAAACATCAAGTCCCCAATAGTTTCTTGCTATTTCAACCTTTGCTCCTGATGGGAACAGCACCTTAACAGGAAAAAATTACAATTTTTAAAGTATACTTAATTTGTAGTTGAAAGGAAAGATATGAGGAGCTGACAAAAGCTCCTCTATAAGGCCGCCCTTCGAGTGAACAATTAAGCTCTGATGTCCTTTCCTTTACATTGATCGGAAGGCCACATCAGTCACTGCAGCCGAGTTTTATGGCTCTGTTATCTCGAGCAATCTTCATGTTCCGGTGAATTCGGCTGTCGTTCATTCATAAAACACTCGCCTCGAAAAGTTTGTTTTCTCTTTGTCATATTAAAAAACTTGTGTGTTTTTATGAGCCAAAGTTCGGCCGGATTTCACTGAACATTTCACTTTCAGATTCGGTATTAGAGACTAAAAACTCCAGGCAAAAGTGTTAATTTCGACCTGCTGAACTATTTAAGTTTGTAAACTATTGCAGAATGTGAACTTTCATGGTTTGATATTTTTGGCACTTTTAGTCTTGTACAGCCGATCCCATAATTTGAACTATTATAACAAGGATTCTGATTGGCTTATTGTAGAGTGCTTTAGGTGAGTATAGACCATGCTGATGACACTGTTCTTCGTTTTGGAATTGAAACTTGTTTTAAAAATTGAAAGTAATGCGTGGGAAATTTAACGATTCTTTATTATAAAACAAATAGAGAAGCCTTGACTGTGCTCTGTTCTGTTGT